TTCGGCTAGCTTAATGATTCTTATCTAATATAATTATTATATTTTAATATTTTATTGCTACTTAGTAAGATATAAAGTAGACAGTTATACATTTACCACTGCTACCTATTGAATGCGAATATGCGCAACTTAGTTTCTAGGTACATTTTATAATATCGTCAACATAGGAACCACACCTCGTCGAATACAGCTACTCCACTGAACCGTTCAAATCAAAACAAAAACAAGTTTTAGCATCATTGAAGTCAATGTCGTTACTGACTATTCTAATATGTGTGTCATTAGTTAATTACGTATTCATACAGATCACACAAATTATATAAATTTTTTACTATCATTCGCTAATAATCTAAATATCAAGTTATATAACTCGTAAAACACTATGTCATACTATATCTATGGAATTATTTTTTAGAACAAAATCTGATAGGTAAATTGACAAGCTAAATCCAGAAATACTTCCGTGCATGTGGTTTAGGTTTAATGCACGATATTCAATAGATTCAAAAGTTAATAACGTTGAACTTGTTTATAATGAAACAATAATTGTGATTTGTAAGATTGAGTCAATATATTTATAGGTAAAACCTGATTAATTGTATAAAATCCCTGCAATAACTGTTATTTTAGATTTATCCTTGTATGATTTCATGTGTGTACTGGGTGCAATATTACGTCCTATTTCATTCATTTTTATGCAAACTCGACCATTATAGGTTTTTACTAACATTAAATGTGAAAATAAGTTTATTTGTACGTTTGTTGTCTCTTGGTGCTTTATTTTCTCATAACTAATGAAAATATTTGGCAAGTTGTACTTAGTATGAAAAAGAAGATGGGTCACTTTTAATCCCACACAGACAAAGTCGCGGACACAGTATTTATAACAACGCCACGTTTAAGTTTATATTTAAGTTATCTAAGTATAAAGGTGGCATAAAAATAAATTACTAAATAATAAAATATTGAGGACTAATAAAATACGGAGGCACCCCTAAGATCTTTTTTTTTACATTTTTGATTGAAACCGTTAATATTTGTAAAACAAAATTTTAGACGATTTTATTATTTTTAAAAAGAAAAATAATTATTTTGTGCACATTAGTACGACACCGACCCGAAAGTGAACCCTTTCAATGAACAAATTCAGAATTTGGGAACATATAGCGACACTTCATTATTTTTATACCAATTGAAAATACAAACGAATTTAATCGAATTATTTAGATATTTACAGATTTTTTTAAAGTTTGCAAACTGCATCAATTTCTAGTCATTCATATTACGTGGCGGCAACTGGAATCTTACAAAAATCTAACGGTGCATCAACTGGTTTCTTGAGGTTCGTAATTGCTCTTCGCAAAGAGCGGTTCGTTCCAACACTATTGGCTACTAATATACTCGAACACAACAGACAGAGTAAACCCTCAAAGACATTGACTGACGGGTATGATTGATTTTATGATTCTTTTATTGGTTCTATTAAAAATCGCGTTTATATTTTTTTGTCACAACAATTACGCGAGGCACTGTTTGAGATTGTTCACAATTGGAATTTTATCATTGAAATTGTGTCTCAGCCAGTATAGAGGATTAAAAAAAACATCAAGAAATAGCTCCTTAAAATACGTCAAAGTACCGCTTATGTACACTACGTGCATACCTATAATAATCTATCGTTATACTTTAACTCGTATTACATTTTATTGGTTTGGGTGTCATTTTGCAAAGTTCATATCACTTTATTTGATTAGTATTATCTAGTAGAAAGTAATATTAACGAAATGAAAATAATTGTTGTAAGGAAAGTTGTAACCACCGCCTATAAACAACATCATGGAAATCACAGCATATTTTTTGACGCCCATGGTATACTTAATTTGTTACCATTCTTGACAACTTTAGAATTATGCCTCCATACTCTGTTAATTCTGTTAGGAATTAATCATAATCAATTAACCAGTTTCGCCGTGTAGTCCCGGCGTGAATAGGTCACCCCTTCCTTTCTGGTGGGTATCGTAAGATGCGACTAAGGGAACTTAATACTAGAGGGATGGGCAATAGCGTCTTTCTTTAAACATCACCAAAGCCTAACTATGGTTGCCAATCCACCTGCCAAGGGTGGCAACTACTGGTAAAACCTCCCAATAGGAGAAGACATATGTTCAGCAGTGGACATATAACGGCTGGTATGATGAATGAACCAGTAGGTATATATTATTACGTGAACCTTATATGTAATTTTATAATATATCACATTTTGGTGTTCCTACATAATCTCATGATAACAGAGATAAAACTAAATCTTTATGTCGTATGAAGATCCTGACTGTGCGCACTGAACATTACTTAGATAATAAGCATTGTATTGTTTATTATTTAATTTTAATTTGCAATACCATAAAATATTGCATAGACTGACTCAAGTAGAATTGAATAGAATACAAAATGTGACAAAATATATGTTACAAGCTTCTTTATAGACCAGATGTAGAGTAAGAAAAGAAATAATGATTAGGTATCTCGTTTGTTACTCTACATTTTATATATATATATATATATATATATATATATATATATAAAACTAAAAACTTGCAAAGGAACACGATGAGAAGGATCAAGATATAGATATTTGTGAAATGTCGGAAAAATATAGTCTGTTTATTTGCCCTAATTAACGAAACGATATGCTGATGTTAATTCTTTGTTGAAAACTGACGTATTATTAATAGTTCGAGTAGCTAATGGACTAAAAAAATCTACCGCCAATTTGTTGTTATTGTCGTGTGCTAAATGGGACAAACTTTGTCTTCCAAATGGAAAAGAGAATCGTCTTAAATTCATCTCGATTTTTTCGTATTTTTTTTATAACACAGGGACAAAGAAGCATGCGGATGGTAAGTGACTACCGTCGCCCACGATCACCCACAACACCAAGGGCATTGCAGGTATGCTGCCGGCCTTATTATCTATCGTATCGTAACTATATTGCTAGTGTAACATCGTAAAATCTGAAACGATTTTTACAGTTCTTTTTATAATAGATAGGGTTAATTCCCGTATTTATGCAGTTTTTTTTTGTTCATATTCATATAACAGATTTTGCTTCGCTGTTGCGAAGCAAAATCAGTTATATGAATGTAAACGCGCGTATAATAACTACGTAAAATGTCGTTATAGAGTATATCTACGAAACATCATTTATCGGTGCGTTCTTGATTGAAGTAACTTTTTTGTTGTGATATACTTGTAAAAAAAATGTAAATGTTGCCATATCCAATTTAGATTTGTGCACTGTATCACTTGTGTACTACGTTAGTTGAATTTGTTGTTGACGAATGTATTATTTGACTATCAACATAAACTAAGACATATTAACTTAAGTGCCAATTCTGCCAATCATATGTTATCTTATCGATAACTCAGGGAGTACTTAAAAAGATCAATGAACGGAGTTTATTTCTGTAACAATGTAGTAGATATGTTTACCTATTAAACAGATTGCAAACCCCTGGCGTCGCGCCAACAGGGATAGTCAGCCTTTCGCAACCTGTGCATAAATAAAATACAAAACAAAAGATATTACGCTTCCTTATTTCTAAGAAAATAAAGTTCAATTCTGAATAAAATACAATCTTGTATTTAAAGTATTTCCGGGATCTAACTACAAACTGAAATAGACTATCTAGCAGAAATTTAACTGCTTCCGATTTCAGTGAAATAATTTAATAACGTTTATAGATGTGGTGGATCCGATTTTAAGTAGGAAGCAAAAAGAACATTATTACTAAATTGGATTTGCATGTAACTACCTATATGTTTTAGGTTAGTTTGGAAATATTTTTAAATGTTATCTGATTTCACAGTTTACCTTATCCTTGTGCCTAATTATTCTAAAAAATCAGACATCTTAGAGTTTGATCTTAAATGTTGTATAAATATAAATAGGCAAATCTTAGTAGAATTTTTTTTACAAAAAGCGATTAAGGACGTAATTTATACAATGATGAAAATTTTTAATTGTTTTTTAACAATTTGTTTATAACATAATGTACATTAATGAATACACTAAGACTTTAATGGACACCTCCCTTACGCATTGCTACTCTTGACGACTAAGGTGTTACGCTTAAATTTCACAGGCACCTACGACCGAAATGGAACCGAAAGTAGGAAACTGTCGAATGTAACCGTCATATTAATCCAGATAATTATAAAAACATTACAAGCGGATACAACCCAGAAAGTGAATAACACCAATATACAAATTGTAATACTAAATTAACTTTTGTTATTAGCGAAAGTGATAAAACGACAAAATGGTCGCGTGCGAATTACCACTCGTGCTAAATTACATCGTCCTGTACTAAATCCTCGTTTTGTTCCCATTATTCACAATCTACTCGAAAATTAGCATAAGTATTGCCACATTTCAGCGTTTTACTTAGCTAAATGGAGAGTCAATTTGGCTAAGTATAGTTAAGTCACGTACGTTTTTAGGCGAAAATTAGTTCACGTAGAATTACAGATGGGCAAAGCACCGGGTTTAAACCCGGTGCTTTGGTAAAAACCCAATAAACACCCATAAACTCCCATAATCACCCAAAAAATAGGTTTTTACGTATTTTTTTGAAAATATGTAAGTAATACCAATAAATTATTTTTATAAATTGTATTGATCAATTCTACAATATTAAATAAAACGTTAACTAATAATATTTCAGGAAATTTTAAAAATCTATATATAATAAAATGAAAGTAATTAATTTTCAGTGTTTTCATGTTGCAGTTGATCAACATGTTGGCCTTTTGCTTCCCGTAGATACTTTAAAATTTCTTCATAACACCTCGTTCGCACACATGGCCGTATATATTTAAATTCTTGAGCCACTAACAGTCCGAAATACTCATTTCTTTTATCCTCTTCTCCATAAATTAAGCATTTAGAACAGTTTGTTTCTTCTTTCAGTAAATTTTCTTTTACTTTATCCTCGTTTTTTTCTTTGTTGCGACGACGCTGGGTAAATCATCTGGACACTGGGTCTCACTATCGCCAAATATATTTGGAGATCGGCTTCGGCTACGGCTTGGCAGACATTTTTTTCTTTCTACAATTTTAAATTAAATTTATTAGAATAAATGCTTCGAACACACGCGATCTAAGTACCTTTTGTGTTTATTATACCTTACCTACCTAGGTATAAAAAGAGTACTTACGTAGATTTTCTTTTATTAACTGTTTTATACGAAGATCTTGATCTCTCAAATTAGCATCCATTTTACTTCCAGTGATTATCAACTAAATTAATAATCCACAAAGTATTAAATAACGTTTTTATGAAATATTTAGCACAAAAACAATACCCTTTAAATATCGATCGTCAGTAACTGTGGCTGACTTACCTATATTCTAGCAAGCAGGACTGCCAGATGTGAAGGGGAAATCCCCAATAAATTGTTGCATGTGACTGATGATGTGAGCATGTTCGTTTCATAATAAAAATGTTGCCAGGTAACCAAAAAGTCGTATGTTTTTGTGCGAATTACGATCATAATCTTTACGATCGTACATTAAAAAATAGACAAATAATAGTATGAGTACGATTTAAATCGTATATCTGTCAACCCTGCTAGCAAGACAGCGACAAAATCACGTTGCATAACAATGTAGCCCAAGCTTATATCTTATGAAATATACGGAAGAGATACGGACTTAGAAAAAACAGAAATGTTGTTCTTTGTGGAAGTCATTGATGAAATTCTATGTATTTTAGCCCGCAAACTTTCTTCAAACAAAAACAGCGCCATCTAGTATCGAGTTCTGTAATTATCTCTTTGTTTATGGATTTGAAGTAAGACCGCCACGCATGCAATACATTATGACTGGGGATTCCCCTATTCGTCGACGCTGAATATGAGGCGACGACAATCACTGTCAAACGTGTTCACTATTACTCTGACTCTGGTAACGTGACTTCCTGGTAACGTGTTAGGTAGGAAAAGCAGTAAAAAAGTGCATATTAAGGGAGCAGATTTGAAATAATATTTATACTTAACAAGAAATAATTAAAGGTAAGTGGATTTTTGAATGATACAATTATATCATGATCACTTAACAATTTTAACTTAAAATTAGATGTATTATTACAAGCTTTTATTTAGCTTGCGTTATGTAAATAAAAGTATGTAGGTATGTTCGTATGTTGATGCAATTATCCTCAATCCTCAACCGACTGGGATAAAATTTTCCATACACGTTTATTTTGGATGATAGTGCATAGTTAGCTGAGAGTCGTCATTGGATAATAATGGTGGATAGCCTAAGATGTGTACTAGATATTTATTTTTAACATAATATGCGTAAGTACCTAATCGAATTAAAGAAGTTGCTGAGAAAAATACAGAACAATACGATAATAAACTAGCGTCTGCGTTTAATCCTCCGAGGAGATGTAATTTTACAAAGGTTTTTTGTATTTATTTTATTATTTTTTTAATAAATTTATTGTAAATAACAAGAAATAATCATTGTAAAAAAATAGGCACTCTATTGTTGAATTTTCGTCAGACCAACTAATCATCGTTCATTTTTTTAGGTTCAATGGGGAGACCTAAAGATTTACGCATATGGGAGCACTACCGTACTTTACCAAACAAGTCTGTTTCTTGCAAGCTTTGTAATAAGGTCTACAAATTCAGTAATGCTGCCAAAATGCTTCAACATCTTATCACTTGTCCAAAATCTCCAGAAACATTAAAAGACTCTATGAAACTTATAAAAGATAGCTCGTCCAAAACCAAAATGTCTGGACTGTCAGAGATAGAGACAAATGATTCTTTTATAAGCCCCTCGTCGTCTGCTAACACTACAATAAATGCTGAGTTTCAAGACACCGATGATCATATAAAAACAGAATTAGCGAGAGCTATATTTGTAACAGGGACGCCATTATCGATGGTGCAACATCCTTTATGGATACAATTTTTCGAAAAATTGCAACCAAAATTTAAAATACCTTCACGTAAAGCTTTAGCGACAAAATACTTAGATAAAATATATAGAGAAATGCGTTTTGAGTTAAATGAGGAACTAAATGCTTGTAGTTACTTACACCTTCAGTGCGATGGCTGGTCTAATTTAAGAAATGAAGGAATAATAAACTTTCTTATATCAAAACCTCAACCTGCATACGTTAAAAGTTTGAATACAGAAAGTAATCCTCACACTAGTGAATACCTTAGCCAAGAAGTTGAAAAAGTAATGAAAGTGTATGGAGCAAATAAGTTTCTTGTACTTATTGGCGATAACGCTAGAAATATACAAAAGGCATTCGAATTAACAAAACTCAAATATCCACATGTTGTTCCTCTCGGTTGCTGTGCACATATCCTTAACTTGTTGTGCCAAGATATTGTAAAGATACAAGAAGTAACTGTGTTTATTATGCAAGCCATAAATATAATAAAAACTGTTAAAAGGAGTCAACGATTAAGTTCCTTGTTGATAAAATCAAGGCAGGGTGAAGATTCTACACAAACACTAAAATTGCCTTGTGCTACAAGATGGGGAAGTCATGTTACTTCGTTAAAAAGTTTGAAAGCAAATAAGATAGCTTTGCAAATATTAACAGTTAGAGAAGATGTGGTAATTTCAAGAGATATTAAAGATTTAATTCTAAGTGATGATTTCTGGACGAAGACAGGGGAATGTATAAGTATTTTGGAACCAGTCACTGAAAGCATATTTTACTTAGAGAGCGACCAGAATCGTTTGCATCGCACATACATTACATTTAGAGATGTACAAGCTAAGATACGTTTTGCATTAAATGAGATTTCGACATTGAGCGAAGAAAGCAAACAGCAGATTCTAACATCAGTATCTTCAAGATGCAATATGGCAATGAGGCCAATACATTTTGCAGCATATATTCTAGACCCCAGGACTCTAGGAGTCGAACTTACTCAAGAGGAAGAACTTAAGGGTATGGAGTTTATCTACAATTTAAGCCAACACTTAAGTTTGTCAAATGTAATGGCAGATTTGGCGTGTTATAAAGCTAAAGAAAACTTTTGGGCCAGAGGATTTGTATGGAGCTCATTAGATAGCATTGAGCCCCTAATATGGTGGAAAGGTATTTGTGGTTCCACTGAGTTAAGCAAAGTAGCGATTCGTATTCTATCAGCTCCCTGTACTTCGGCAGCCACTGAGCGTTCCTTTAGTATCCAAGGCTACATACATAATAACAAAAGAAATCGACTTACAACTGAAAGAACTGAAAAAATTTCATTCATTTGTTATAACTGGAATCTTAAACATAAAGCTGAATGCGAGGACATTCAGTTTAATGAAGAAAATACCTTAGAAGCTTTCATTGAGCAAGTAAATGAACATAACAGTTTAGACGAAATAGAGCCTATCGAACCTATACAATTCATCGCTTGTAATAACTCTGAATCTGACAGTGATTGACTGTAGTTTTACATTTTACTTTCATCTCTTTCTTAATAAACTCAAAATCAAATTAAAAGTTTTTTATTCTGTAGGCTGCATAATAATATTGTCTATGTCCAGTATAGTGGACGTCTTGCGGCTGAGATGACGATGATGAAGTACAAAATCATAAACACCCAAAAATTTGGGTGTTTATGGGGTTTAAACCCAATAAACCCAAAACACCCGGTTTTTACCCACCAGACTTTAAACCCACCCAGGTGGATTGCCCATCTCTACGTAGAATCTTTTGTATTCGTTGCATATTCATTTTTTAATAAACAAAAAGTATTGAATAAAAGTATTTAACAGAATTACGATACGATTACGGTATCCGGTTCCCATATGTCTTTATGTTTTAATGTATGGATTGCTATATAGTTAGGGTGTTTTCTAATTAAATACAGACACCATTAGATCACACATGTATAGTAAAGCTCTCCAGAGGATGTAGGGTATACAAATGAAATGAAAAAATAAAAATATACCGATAAAACTATTTTATCGATTCGTTTTAGCTCTTCTCTAAATTTGATTATAAGAGATCCTTCTATGGGATAAGTCTGCCACTTATATTAAATTTTTTTATGTACAAAAATATTAATAACAATAACTTTATTTGTTACATAATATGTTACGTAACGTATTTCGTCCATTTCACAATTCGTCATCCAACACTATCAACCACAATATAATTATGTATCCATCATTATTATATAATTCATATTTTGAGGTTTTCCCTGCGGAGTTGATACTTACCATATCTTTGTACAAATAGTTTCTTGAAGTCATATTTTTATTTATAGACGCCCTTAGTCGTATTGTCCTTCAACTTTGCCCTATTACAAAAATAATATTGTCGTTTTAATCGTGGCCCTGTTTATTGTAAATGGACTATTAAAATTATTAATAAAATATAACGTTAGATAATTAAGAGATCATGAGTACATTGAACATTTTTAATAAATTGAACATAAACTTTTAACGAAAATCATATCAAAACAGTAAACATACCTATCTACCTAGGTAACAATAATAATAACGGGTGGTACATTTTTATTTGTGCTTTACAAACATAGTATTTTGACATATGTCTGTGCAATATTTATTTTTTCAATTTTAAAGAGCGTAGGCACTGTATTTAGGGCTTGCCATATTTTTAAAAGGGCAGTTGTCCAGTAAAATGCCAGTTTTTATAAGGAGATAAGACAGTGTGCATTAAAATGTAGCTTAAGTCGTTAAAGTCGAAAACTCACACATACAAAAACCTTGGCCTACACCATAAAAAAGTAAATATATTTTTAATAGACTTCAAAAAGGAGGATGTTTTTAATTCGGTTGTATTTTATTTTGTTTGTTACCTCATAACTCGAACAGTTCTAAACCAAATTGGTAAATTCGTTTTTTTTATCTGAAAAGATATACTTACAAATTGGTCCCAATAATTTTAGCAAAAGCAATTGAATAGTTTTGAAATCAAAATCACTAGTTTTGTCACAATTGAAGTCGGTTTTTTTTTGTAGAGCACAATCTTTAATTATACGTTATTAATATTTAATTTAAGCATTTGAATTCATTGAAAATTAAATTACGAAGTTTAAAATTATTTGTCATTTTTGCGCGCAATCAACAATACGTGAAAACTTGGTTTAATAGCACAATTTACTAAGCAAACAAAATATTAATTACAACAAGAAAAGTTAAAAAACTGAGTTTAACGAATGCCGCAATGAGCACAGTTGGGAGATTAAAGAATAAGGAGGGGGGAGGGGAGCACAGGTGGACACAAACTCTGAAACTGAATCCATGAGACCCTCGCTACGTTAATGGAGTAGGTATCATAGTAAATATAGAATTGGGTATTTACGGAGTTATTCATGTTAGTAGATCAATAACCGCAGACCATCTTATAATTTCCTATGGTTATAAAGAATATTATACTACTTATTCTACATCTACACGATGGACAAAAAATAATACCGAAGAGCAATTGAAACCATAACCTAAATAAAGTTCCGCCTTTGCGTTCAATCTTGCCTTAAGTTAATTATCAAGTTCCAGTACATTATCAAGAATTGTTATTTCTCACGGCATTGTTGGGAAATGTCGATGACACAATAGGGGCAAACTAGTAATAATACGGTCGCACGTGCGCTTGATAGGCATTTGGTTTGAATCACAGTATCCTGTCACTTAATTTTTAATATTACATACTGTTCTCGCAATTAAAAAAACTTCATCCACAAGGCCGAGAAAAATATAATATAATTTGACTGCCATATCCTACCCTCAAAATTGAAAAATACCTTCTTCATTACAGTGACATAAATGGGACAGAGGTATCAAAGTGACAAGTGATGACTTTTGTACAAATTTTCCCCCCTCTGGTATATACATGGATAGTCTCATAATTTTTCTATGTCAATAATCTGTAAAATTATTGTAAATATTCAGTCACACTATACTATATATAATATTTTCTATATTATTAATGAAGTTAATAAATTAATAAATAATCATACTGCAAAATGACAAAACCTCTCGATTAAACTAATAACAAAAACTAATATATTTTACATGTGCAGGTAGTTTTAAGAATGTTCTAAGAAAAATAAAATATTGTGGCGTCTAACGGATACTCTTAATTTAGCTGGTAGATCTTAAATAAGACAAACATCCACTTACTCATCCGCTTGATACAGCGGATATCTTAGTGACGTCATCAGTACAATACTTCTACAATTCTAGTCATATGATCAAAATATTTTGTGGTAAACTGGTATCGAAAAAAAAATACATTGATCGTTTCTAACGTAGTGTGGGCATAAACATTTTTTTTTTAATTCGCATTTGAAGAGTAGATATCAGATTCTGGATTGACCTTTAATTTAATATCACAAGTACAATATTAGTATATAAATTACTAGTTTGTGCGAAATGATACGGGAAATGCTTTGTCTTAATTGTGATTATATATATACTGCAAAAATGTAAATATTCTTAAAGACCTATAATAAACAGTAACAATATAAAAAAAAAATATTAGAACAAAATAATGTTCTCTAAACGCACTTTCATACTTGAATCCTCCAATAAAATTGCCATCGAATTTTGACACCTATTACTGACGCAAAATGACACAAATGCTTAAATAACTGTTCTAGTAGTTATCTGCAATGAAGTGTGAATGACCGAGTTGATAGTAATCGTTTTCGCTATTTACTATTTTATTGTTGACCAGCAATAAGTGGAATATTCAGGTCATGTAGCCATTGTATGCCGCTGGTCGCTAACGACATCACAATATCTTAGTTCCAAATAAAGAAAATTGCTATAAGATATAGCAAAAACATGTTGATACATTTTAATGATCATTATACTTAATTCGTTTACAGGAACTGGTATATGTTATATGTATCCTGTCTGTTAAAATCTAGACATTTGTTATTATAAGATGAATCATAAAGAATTCAGTAAATTTCTAACAAAATTTAAAACAGAAGGATTCTTGCCAAAATCTAAAAGTCAGTAGCCTTGTAATTTATTCAAGAAATACTCCATGAAAAAAGTTCTTAAGAATATATCTAATAGACAGGTCTGTATCATGTTAACTTCGTTGCTCAAAATTATGAATAACAAACAGTAGGAGTACGTTGATCAAAACATTATTGTATTAAGAAGAAACATGATAAAAATATGTATAACGAGTATGTGAAAATTTTATAAAAGTGAGTCCTACGAAACGTCTATTGGGTTAGGCGTTTATATAGTAATGCGAATATAAACTAGTTTGAAAAAAATAAAGTTACATATAACAAGGTATCACTGACATAAACTGAGAATTTGAAAAAGATTTTGCTATCGGAAGAGAGCGGAATAAATTTACAATATGGAAGTAAAAAAAGGATACTCACTAATGGTTTGTATTACAATCAGAACGCAATTTCTTTGAGAAAGAATGCACAAGACAGATTATTAAAGTAGGTAATAGATGACGGTACAGACAGAGGTGCTCGACACACGGTTTTTATGAGGAATTATGGGCACAAAGAATTGAGTGTTAAACTAATTTAGTAAACAAAATAGAAAACGTTGAAGGCCGATGTTCTTTCATAGGACAGACAGTGGACGGGCGAATTTCAAATGAAACTCTATCCATAAAATATTAAGCATTATTTTACATCGTACTGTTTGCACTCGTCCAGTTTACGGCTCTCTTTGTATCGAGTCGTAATGAATAATCCTTTAATTTTCAAGATCTAGCCTTCTTCTACTCCAATGCATAAAACTAGAAGAACTCGGCAATTAGAAGCATCATAAAGAAATTACATCCTGTACTTCTTTAAGACTGAATGAGCTTATGACCATAACTTAGCACTAATGAAATTAATTCACAGCAATCGGACGTGACGTCATGCAGAGGAAACGCATCATGTCCCTGTATGGAAGTCATCATTCCCATACCGCCTAGTAGTACATCCAGAAATAATATAACAAATGTAAAACGATCCCTTTAGAAGCTCATGCTGCCTACTCCGCTAAAGACAAAAGCGAGGGAGGGAGGTCATGATAAATGTGTCGGTTCTATAAACAGCTGTTGACGAAGTGGGTGCGTTGCCTCCCAAATGGCTTTTTTTTTTATTGCAACCATTCGAATGAATACAATTTTAATTAAAAGTACAAACATTTGACAACAATTTTAGAGCTTTAATTAGTTTACTCATCCATCCATGGAAAAAACAGAGGCAATTGTAATATGGCTGCATTTATTAATAATCTCAGTAAGTTTACAGTGATGGCGGTACAAATTTGAATGAATTTAAATTCTTTGCAACAAAATCTGATTCTTTTTCCAGCTGATGTTTAAAACCTATATTTTCTTGCTATTATTCTATTCCTAATTATTTGTATTTAAGAGGGACCAGGTGAATCGTGCCTACCCCAGAATTGTCTGGTATCTCTGGTGTCTGGTAATAGGATGAGAAGCAGAACTTTAAGCTCTGAGCAAATGTATATATGTCCAAAAGTATATATGTAACATTTTTAAGAGCCAGACCCTCCTGGAATATAAGCTTAAATACGTCAAAGATCTGATTTAATCGTAGCAAAAGTGACATTAGAACATGGGCGTAAATCTCATCGATTGTAAAAATAATTAAAAATCTCTTTTTTTAGTTTCTTAAAAATATACTCAGATATACTTCAGTTTAACATTCAATACAGGTATTAAGGATA